CAGAATGCAGAGAAGTGGGGAGGGGGAAGTCTATTTCCTGTGAGCCAAATTTAATTGGCTGAATGTTTGTTTTGTTGTTTGGAGTTACCTGACTGAGCTGATGGTAAAATGTTGGCATATGATTTGAGAATCAATTTTCTTGTTTCCATCTAAACCAGCCCTCGGTTTGAACTGCCAATGGGAACCACAGAGCAACCACCACTGCCTCAACCGACACAAACACAGCAAAAGGTACACAATTCCCCTGCCTCCCCTACACGCCCAGCCTTGAAGCATTTCCCACAGTGCTTTAAAAGAGGGTGTATTGTCTAGTGGTCAGAACTGGACACCTGGGCTCTTGGATCCCGCTTGCTGGAAAGCCTTGGAGAAATACTCACTGAATGAGGGAAAACCTTTCCTATTTTACAACAGGGTGTGATACCCTTTTGTAATTAAGAACTTGGAGACAAAATTCCAATAAACCACAAAGCACTGCCTTCTTTCCCCTCCTCCCAGCCTTCTAATGTCCACCATCTGATCACAACAGACTGCTGCTGCCTTCGTCCATGTGTTTTGCTTTGTTCTGTTTCTCCCCTTGCCCTGCTTAACCTTCTCAGTCATTAGTACTGTCCTCTTGCTCAGAGGCCAGCAGTGGCAGCTCTGTTGCCTGGGGCACTGCCTGGCAGGGAGGGTGCTATGCAAGAATTAAGCAGCGACCAACCCTGAGTGCCATTATAGTGCTGAAAGCCCTACAATTGTTCCAACTTTACATGGAGATCTAGTCACAAAACACTCCCACGTTACATAGAAGCACGTCACGTGGTTGTGCGGCCATCTGCCAGTTTTGTAATCTGTGTGACATCTCAGTAATGGCAATGATATTTTACCGGCCTAAACCTACTCTCTAAATGTGCTTTCAGAGAAAAGCAGGATAGCTGGCCTTTGTAAGCCTTGGTGCTTGATTTCTTCTCGCTGGTGTTCCAGCTGGCAGAGCACCCACACACAGATTTGAAGGAAAATTGATCACTTGATATGTGGGGTGCTCTTTTCCCTTCTTAATAAAATAACAACCTTAAAGGTCTTTATCCTTGATTTGCTTAATGAGTCGGAACTCTTCTCCTAACCAACAGAGGACACCGCAAGTCATTGGAGTCATGCAATCTCAAAATAACAACACTGGGAATAGAGGACCCCGGCCGTTGGAGCAGGTCACCTGCTACAAGGTAATTTAGAGGGGAGGGAAGCAGAGGGTACTAGACTTAAGAAGTACAGAGTGCTCATCACCTGAACTACATCACGCTGCTTTGCTGCTGGTTGCTTGCCGCAGGCAAAGGAACGAACTGTTGTGATAAGGGGTGTTGGTCCTGCAAAAGGTTTTTTCACAGCATAAGCAGGTTCATGAAATGTGCACTCTGCTGCTCAATAGACACTCCATTTTGCTGCGTGGATACAGCTGTGGGAATTAGCATCGAGTTCTGAGGCCTCTAGGTCACTAGTTTGCCAGCTCATGGACTTACTGTGACAATTAAGGCTGCAGTAGGACAGACTTTGCTCATCTGCTAATAAACAGGAAGCCCTACCACAATGACGGTTAAGTGAGACTGCTGATCTTTACGTTTCAAAATAAGAACTAATATTAGTTTTGTCTCATGAGTTAATTTGCTTATACTTGGTGACCGTAGAAAAATTTTCGTCTCCCCTGTTAGCATGGAAGGTCTTTGCAAGTACCAGAAATTGAATATGCAAAGACTGTTCAGTATTGCAGCTGTAAGTGCACCCTGTCACTGTCAAACGAAGGAATTCACTTTGGTTGCTCATTGGGGAGCACTGGTAAAACTTCAACACAATTGAGATTCCATCTCTGTTTATTTCTCCACAAAAGCTCCAGCCCTAGCCGCTAGAAAAGGGCAAAGAATCTTCCTGTCCCACCAGCTTTGACAGTTACGTCGTCGTACATGCCAACTTCTGTGCCTTAAGTGCTTGTTTGGGTAAAAATTATTGTGATTGGACAGGGATATTAAGTAGTTGAATCTGTTTCGCTGAAACCCTTTAATAGCTGCTTATTATTTTAGCTGCAAGTAAATTATATATCTGGAGAATGCTGTAGCATCAGATACTGGCATTTCTTTCTGGACTGGAATAGCTTCAAGGTACAAAGTCGTGAATCTCCTGTTCAGATGCACTTTTCTCTCTCTAATTCAGGATAGTTTATCAGGAGAGTCCCTATGTGTCTCTGATGTAGTGCGTGTCAGATGGAGTCGTTTTGGAAGCCTCAAACATTGAAATTCTCCTTCTGTGTTACAGCCTTTGCTGTTTGTAGCAGTGTGCTGAGAGCACTCTCCTTTGTGGTGTGTGATAATAACATGGCATCAGGTCGATCCCAGCACAGAAGCACCTTTTGCTCCAGAGAGTAGAAATAGCCCGTAAATCATGTCCCATGGGACACCGTGTTTCACTTCACCTGCTAAATGCTGCATCTTCCATGCACAGAAAAGCTTCCAGACTGGAACAAGTTGCCAGCTACTTTAATAAAGGCAGCTAGAGGGGAAAAAGTTGTAACTGTGTAATAACTCCTCTCTCTTTCTCTTTTAGTGTGGTGAAAAAGGTCATTATGCCAACAGATGCACCAAAGGACATCTGGCCTTTCTCAGTGGACAGTGAAAGAGCAGAACGAAGAGTGCAAGGGAGCTATTAACACTGAGAAAAGGTTTCTGCCTAGCACTATGTCTTGAACTATTAATCAGGTTGTTTTTTAATGCCATTACTGAAAGAACTGGTGAGAGGCTGGCTGCTGCTAAGCAACATTTTTGTAATTGTCCACAACTTTTTTTTATGTTTTAACCTTTTAAAAATAGATTTTGGTCTCCGCCTATTTTCATTGAGCCCTGTGGAAAGGTAGATCTAAAAGCAAATAGATATGCAAACCCCTCACCGGTGCAGCATTCTACGTAAACGCATCTTACGCCAGTGTTTCTTTAAAGTGTTTTCCTTCTGCCACTTCTCTTTGGAGAACCTGCAGCGTTTCAGCCCTCCCTGTGGAAGCAGGAAGACTGGTTGGGAAAATTAATATTTGAAATGCCTTCCCTTCAGTGAGGAAGCAGGGATTCTGCTGTCCTGTAGCTCTTAAAAAGCAAAGTCGTGTTCCGAGGTCCAGCCTGTTGTAGTCGGTAAGCTTGTCCTGGTGGCTGACTTAATGCATCACATACATCAGGCTGTAAAACTCTCATCCACTTGCTTTGTTTCTGTGCTTCTTGCCATACTGAAGGTTAGAAATTAATTTTCTGAGTGAGAATGAATCAAGGGGAGAATAAATTGGCATCTCTGTGGTTAGCCAAACGATTGTAGGAAAGACACATCTGTGCTCATTTTCTCTTTGCAAAAAGCAAGGAGAGAAGTGAACACAGCTTGAAGAGTAGGAATAGAAGAGCCTTTTCTCAGCCCCCGCCTCCGTTGTCCAGCTCACACTGAGCAGGTATTTCCATAACCTAGAGAAGACCAAGAAGTGGAGATGTATATTCTTATGGAACACTGCTTTTTAAAGTGGTAGAGCAATTTTGCAAGCCAAAACCGATCCATTTTGTGAGAAGACTATTTTCAAAAGGGCCAATGATAAAACGTGAATTAAAAAAAAAATTTGCACCTACAATATGAGCCTTATTGATTCTAACCCATTTCTCATTTGCTGACTGCCTTTATACTTTGTTTTTATTGAAATGTACCAATGGAAAAGCTTGCTGTGAATTTTTCTTCATTTTTTAAGAACAAGATAATATGACTAGATTAAGAGAAGTGACCGGAACTTAGGTTGGTTTGAATAACTACAGTTATTTCACTGTGGGGAGTCATGGTCAGTCAAAATAGGAAGTTCCAAGTATAAGTGACTATGGTATGACAGACCATCAGACACTTCTCACTATGAGACGTATTACCTGCATGTAACTAGGCACATGGAAAGGGAACCAACACCTAGATGTCTGGCTGCCTTCCCTGTCTAGTTCAGGAGTTTATGGTCTTCACTACCTGAACAGATGTTTTCCAAAACCAAAAGCCTTCCTGTTACCACTGAAGCTCTTGAGAAATCCTTTGTATCCCTTTGAAGTGTTTTTTGTTCTCCCTCCTATTCAGAAAAGGATACTGCAGGTTCTGCCAAGTATCAGCAAGTAGTGTTGCGACAGCGGGATGCACATGTGTGGAGGGATGTGTGAGGAAGTTCATCAGCTGGGGCCAAACCCACAGATGCTCCTTTAAGCTGCATTTATGCACATAGTGTCTCCTGCTAAACTTCTCACCACTGCATTTAAGTCAAGAAGCAAAGTTTTCCTTTAGTTTAACTTCGTGGACCTTTGTTATAGTAAAAGTCTTTTAAGCTTATACTCATTATAAACTTCCAGCTTCTTTTAGTAATGAAAGTAGGTAGTTTTGATAGAAATGGGTTAGTGGAGGTAAGAAGCATTAGAATCCCCATAACAGAATGGGAGTTGCATACCTCCTTAAAGCTAAACCAATCTCATCTGAGGCAGTGCTCTGCAAGGACAGAAAACTGCCCAAATACCTACAGTCCCCAGGTGACAGCCTGACTGAGAACCAGAAACACGTGGCCATACCAACAGGCCTCTTAAAGCTCAAATACTGTTCTTTCAAATCTGTATATTGTATCTTTTCAGCTAGTTGTCCAGCCTGTACATAACAGCCACTAAGAAGCAATCCTCTGCTTTTTACTTTCATCAAACAGTTAAATAGGAATAATTTGTAATAAGTTTCCCCAGTTCATAATGCAACCCAAGTAGCAGATGCTTTCCCAGCCCTCTCTGAACTGAAGGGTGAAACTCTAAGAAAACAAACTCACTTGCACAGTACAATTAACAAGTCAGTTACAAGAGTGTCAGCTTGGCAAGTTTAAAGTGTATGCACTTTATTATTGGTCATAATACCACAGATTTTTAGTATGAATAGTTCTGATGTCTTCCACCATGACAACTGTTCCAGTAGCCAAGTCTGTTCAGGAGCTGCACCTTCACGCTTCAGTGGTACTTCCTGTGGCGGTCATGCTCTGTGTCATTCAAAGTAAAGCAGGTTAATTTTACTGAAATCACAAGAGAAAAACACCATACCTGAAATTGCAGAAAAGAAAGCACTCTCAAAAAAAAAAAAAAAGAGCATGTAGTTTCTAAGTATTGTCAGGTCAGACAGGCAACAAGATCTTCATCACCAAGAAAATACTGTCCATCTGGTAACTTACTAAAAGCATTCAAGTTCTCTATGGCTGGAAGAAGTCTGCTTGCCAACAGTCCTGGATTCAAGCAGCAATGGTCAGCACAGCCTTTCACTTTATTTCTAAAAGCAGCAGCAGATTGTTTTTATTGCCCCAAGCAATCTTCCAAGCTGCACTACAGACATATGGCCATACTGCTTTTACTTACTCAGGTGACTGTAGCTCCAGATGTAGCTGACAACAACATAACCAGCAAGCACCATGGAGATACCACCGAGGCCTCCTTTCCTGACATCGATATATTTACTGTAATATCTGTCGTAACCTGTGTAGGAGAAAAGTTTTCACAGCAGCCAGAAGAGTTCCGTACTTTTGTGTGTCGGAAAGGAGCAGCCCAGTTTCACAGAACTTCAGGAAATTGTTTCTAATGAAACACCTGAGGGTCTCAGAAGCAAGTCTGAGAGAACACAACTTGTCTGTTAGTTAAGCAAGGTGAACTCAAGCTAACAGCGCTAAGCCTTAAAAAAAAAAAGGGAGGGGGAAACAAAAGCGCCATTTATCATTTTTCCCTTAAACATTATTGTGACTTTCATGAGGTCAAGCTGCTTTGGAACTCTCTAATTCTTTCATACTAGTGTATATACATTATGCAGACAATTGCATTCGGTATTTTGTGTTTAAGTCTACCTGAATGCCATATCTGTATTGACAGAAAAGGGCATCAGTCAAAACTTTTGCCAAGCGATCTATAAAAACCATGTGTCCTTATCATCTTTAGGGATTCACTGCATTTTTTTATTTACTTGTGACGTTGGGAAACCTCCAGATTTCCAGCAAATAAGTTTCAGGAGTCAAGTTGCCGTATTTCTTCTTCATACAAGAAGGAATACGGAAAACAAACCTCTGGTGGATAAAGCCCATGCGAGAAACACATTTACATGTGAGATGGGAGAACAAGACGCTACAGGAGGCACTGTTCTGGGAAAGCAAAAATTGCCATGAAGCAGCCCTTGTGCGGCCGGATCTTCCCGGCCACAGCCAAGGTCCACTCCAGCAGCCAGAGACGCTCATGCATCGATCTGCCTAGCTCCGCCAGGAGAATGGCTTCACAGCCTCCAGGCCCTGGCCGGCCGAGGGGGTGCGGAGCTGTTTCTGCAGGGCGGGCAGCCCCGCCGCGGGCCCCCTTCAGCCCCACTCACCTCTTCGTATGGCCCCCACGATGCCGCCGGGGGTGAAGTCTCTCATGGCCAGCCAGGTAGGCAGCTGGCCCAGCTTCACGTCCAGCAGCTTCATGTCCTTGAGGAGAACTGCGGCACAGAGAGAGACAGCCCGGTCAGAGAGAGAGAGAGAGGAAGGGAGGGAGCCGCGGTCACCTTGGGCCCCCTTCAGCCCCACTCACCTCTTCGTATGGCCCCCACGATGCCGCCGGGGGTGAAGTCTCTCATGGCCAGCCAGGTAGGCAGCTGGCCCAGCTTCACGTCCAGCAGCTTCATGTCCTTGAGGAGAACTGCGGCACAGAGAGAGACAGCCCGGTCAGAGAGAGAGAGAGAGGAAGGGAGGGAGCCGCGGTCACCTTGGCTCTGCGCCGTAGCGGGGGACGTCGGGAAAGGACGGGCCGCTGAGGCTCACGGGAAGAAGGTCAGGCGGGAACCCCGGATGTTGGGTGAGTGGGGAAGGGTGGCGCCATGTTGGGCGGGTCGCGCGCCCCCTTGCCCGGACGGCCGCACTGAGGAGGTGTTGGCCCCGGCGTCGCCTTTTGCGCGTCCCATCTCCTCACCAGGGAGGTCGGTTCCCCAGCGGGGGCTGCACACGCTGCCACAGTTGCCACAGGCACTGCGTTGAGGCCTGTCTGTGTGAGGCCCTGCCAGCACTGGTGGCCTGTCATGGGGCTGGTGGCACCCTGGGGGGGTTTTCCCGCCCTGCCCCGTTCCAAAAGGCCTCCTCTGGGCCAGGGGCCCTTGTCAGGAGACGGTGGCCCAGCGACACTGGGTGACTTGTGCAGGGTGACCTCCAATGCCTTGGGGCAGGCCAGGGCCTTGCCCCATGCCCGCTGTACGTTGTGGGATGTCAGGTGCCAGCACTTGCCGGGGCCGCAGAGGTGAAGCCTCGTGCAGATTGTGAAAATAGCAGAGAGAAAAATTCACATGTCATCATCAGCACCGTCACGAGACTTCATCAGCAGTCTTTTGGGGGCTGCTGATGTCCCACAAATGAACCTTTTCCATTGTGCTCTGAAGAAGTTACAACTCTTAGTGCTGTAAATGTGCATTGACAGATGGTATATACTGCAACATACCTTTACATTTGTTATTGTATATTGTAATCTAAGAAGTGAGGCTTCTCAGACCGCTTCCAGGGGTCACCTGCCCTCTCCCACAGTCTTCTTGGGTGGCGTCAAGACAAGAGGAGGAATGTTAGACTATTTTTCACAGGGATTACATGACAGATGAATAATGTATTGTGTTGTCCCATTTCAGTGCCCACTCAGGACATTTACCTGTGGGAATATGCTGCATTTCAGAACAGCTCCTCTGCAAGGATGTCAAAGGCCGAAGCAGAGGTATATGGTGGAAGTAAACCTGCATAACCAGAGTGGTGGAAGAGATAATGTGCAGATAAAGACAACTTTTGCCTTCCCGCAATAGGAAAGAGCCACCCAGATTTCTTTCATATTCCCGAGCGTCTTTCTGGGGGATTCAGTGCATACAGGCCCCTGGAAGCACCACCCTGGGCAGATAAAGCACCTGCAGAGGTGGCCATGGTGGTACCAGGGTGGGTTACGGGGAGGGGGACTCCAGCAGGTGTCACTCGCACTTAGCAGAATGCAGCTGCTGGAAGGATGCTCTCCATTAGCCTGACCTCTAGAGGTTTTAAATCCTATCATTCAGGTTCATAAAATAGTCTCAGGTTTTGTTGTTGTTTATTGTGCTGAATCTGGAAAGCAAAGTGATACAGCAGTAAACAGGGAGCAGCCATCCACCGCTGTTGATGACAGGTCAGCCAGGACCCCAGATTTCCTAGATATTAAATCTCCATCCCACAGAGGACTGTTAGAACGGATGAGAGATGATGAAGACTAAATTAAAGACGTTGAAGGGGGCCCACAGGGCTTCTACATGAACACTGAACTACTAATCTCTGCAGCCTTTACTTCTCTTAGGTTGCAGATTCTTACTGCATGTGCCTTCCTCCTGCCTCTGCGTTATAATCTGTAGGGTTTGTGTTACCTGGTATTAAATGAATTGAGGATGGGAGCACTGTTGTTTCAAGAGATATGGTACTTTGCAATGCGTCTTGCTCAGAGGCTGGTCTACATGTCTGCCTAGCTTCAACCTCTATTTTACTGAAACTAATTTATTTACATTGAATAGTGTTCTTCCATAACATAAAAATAAAAGCAGGAGGAATCGATTAGTGCCTCTTTTTTTTTTCTTTTACTTTCTGTTAAGTAGGGTAAGGAAAGTATAGTGTGCCTGATCACTTGAAGAAAGGGTTCCAAATTTAGTCCCTGTTAAATGGGTTAAAAATCCCCTTATCAAATTATCCTTTATTTTATTATTGGACTTTACCGGTAACTGTCATTTTATTGCTGAAGTGTCCCCTGATGAACTACTGTGTGGCCTTTTTACAGTATTTGCATAAAAGCATGCTTCAAACTTGCCTCCCTCATTCTTGCAAGGCAACCTATTGTTTTAAAATAGGATTACTCATGCAAGGCAGATTAATTCACCTACAGGAAAAAAGCCAACGGCGGGTGCCTCGTTTTAAAGAGTTCCCTGCAGAGCAGAAGAGCACATAGAGTTGCTCAAAGTGCTTGTAGCAAGATCTGGGGAAATTTGGTTTGTTAGGGTAGGAATGGAAGTCCATAACAGGGCACATCTCCAATGCAATTAGCGACAGCAGTGACCTAAACCTTGACCTGAACTATCTGCTCTGGTACAGTAAGAGAGGCACAGTTCTGTTGTCTTTATGCCATCTTAATCCTGAAGCAAGCAGGAAGAGTTAAATGCTACAGAAGTACAGGAGGTTTTGCAGCACACATTTCTTCCCTTTGACCTGTGGTGCTGGCCAAAATTCAGGGTCTTCTTGGTTGATCCAGGTTGGAGGAGGAGTGATGAGGAAAGATATGTCTGATGTATTTCTGTTTTCCTACAAGAATGCTCACAGCCCTCCTTTCCTGAACACAGAAGAAATCACGCAGTTGAGAGCCAGTTTCCTTACTTATAGCTCCAGACCTGCTCTAGGCAACAATGTGACCCCAAATCCCTGTTTCTTGTACTCAGTCCAGATTTTATATCAACGGTTGTTCAGGCTGTTTGAAGTTTCCGTTCCCTGCCTGTTTCAATATACCATCTTCTGTCTCCTCCTCCACCTGAACTGTATTGTCCATCCACACATAACCTTCTTTCCTTTTAATATCCAACCCGAAACTGTCCTCCCAGAGCCTTCAGGTACTTGAGCAATCTTGCATTGTGGGTGGAAATAGACTTAATGTCTCCTTCAGCTACCCGAAATAAAGGAACACAGTTAAACCTACCAGTTTCAAGGAGGTTTAACCCAGCCCATAAAAATAAAAGCCTAATGGAGTGTTGCCCTGAGGTTTTCATCTTACTGAAGACCCCTCTAGAAAATGCTGTGAAGTTTATAAGTAGTGGCATAGAAATAATAGGGAGTACATAATTCAAAAAAACCCAGGTTATTTTGCCAAAGACGTAAACAGATACGAAAGAGGTTTCCTTTTTCCAGTAGCAACCGTAACACATAATATTGCAGCTTTCAGTCCAAAGATTCAGCTGTGGCCTGAAAAGTTAAGTAACACTCTTCATTAAAGTTGCTGAAAAGGAGAAGTAAAAAGCATAACACAACCTTTCTCAGACTGTAAGACCTTAGAGGCTGGGATCATTTTTTCTGTTCTGTGGGCCACCCTTGAAAACTCAGGGTCTCACCTGGGTCTGGTGGCCAGTGATGCTATAGTAATATGCAGGCACAGTGTCCACAGGTGTGTAAAGCAGCACAGAGTGGCCTTCAAGAAGGTCAAGAGACGAGGATTTACCCAAGTGATCCTGTGCCCACTGAAACTGATGACAAAGCACCCAGTGCTTTTAATAAAGGATCAAACCTACACAAGTGGACAGATATGGTTCTGAAACATGTGGTTTGGCGTAGGATGTTTCTTGGCTCCTAAACACTTATTTCAAGCTGATGTCTTCCCACCAGCGCAGGTTAAGCAGCTGCAGCCATCAAGGAGAAAGAGAAATCATGGGCTACCAGCACTTCCAGGAGCTCAGTGGAGAGATGCACATTTTATCAATCGGTAATTTGGAGAAAAGTTATGGTCCCAGGGAGCTTGGTCCAATCTCTTATTTTTTATTTGTATGAACAGTTTGATGTGGTGAGAGCAATGCAGCTGCTCAGCATAGGTCTCAACCTCATTCATCTAAAAATGTGCTTGCAGTGGAAACCACTCCCGAGTTGAATAGGGTGAGAAAGGGGTGTGGAGTTTGGAATCTCTTCCATAGCCAGACTTCCTCAGGAAAATGGTGAATTGCCTTGAATAGATAATAATACCTAGGGATTGAACCAGCAAAAGCAGTTGAAAGAATTAACCTATGATTGTAAGCGGATTGCTTGCTCTGAGTTATTACAGAGCCAGTTTCCTTAGTCAACCTCAAAACACTTTACAAAGGAGATTGTTTACCAATGATTAATAGTTTAGCATGTACATAGTTCTTTTCTCCTTCACAGCAGTTGAGTATCGACGCATCTTCATGCTCCTCTGATAAAATGTGTAAGTTAATGTTTTGATTATCTTTTCAAGTGGAGAAATTTGAGCCCTGTCTTTAGGACTGGGGAGGGGGAATTCATAGAATCATTTATGTTGGAAAAGACCCTTAAGATCATCGAGTCCAACTGTTAACCCAGCACTGCCAAGTCCACCACTAAACTATGTCCCTAAGCACCACATCTACATGTCTTTTAAATACCTCCAGGGGTGATGACTCAACCACTTCCCTGGGCAGCCTGTTCCAGTGCTTGATGACCCCTCTGGTGAAGAAATTTTTCCTAATACCCAATTTAAACTTCCCCTGGTGCAACTTGAAGCCATTTCCTCTTGTCCTATCGCTTGTTACTTGGGAGAAGAGACCAGCACCCACCTCGCTAAAACCTCCTTTCATTTCTCCCTCTGCCTTTGGTCTCATCTTGTTGGCCTTTGCTTGTATCTAGTGTCAGTTGCAAAAGTACCTTATTTTGTAGGTCTTTGATCAGCCTGCTGGTTTGCTAAATATATACCTGTG